AAGTGTGGAACTTGGCTGTCAAACAAATGTGGGTAACAACTCACCTGGAAAGATTGTTCAAATGCAAATGTCCAGCTTCCTCTAAAAGTTTCAAGAGCAGTGGGTCAGGGGTATGTATGGCCTGGGTGTCTGCATTTTCATTAAGCGCCTCCCCCAACCAGGGGACCTCACGCTGAGAAATGCTGGCAGTCGGGCTCAAGAAACCTGGGTTAGGGTTTGGGATCCGCCACAGACAACAGTGACGAGAGCAGTAACATGTAGACGTGTGGATGTGGTCAGCACACATTTGCTGAAGTATATAAGACAATAACACTTAGCCGGTGCCTAGCACACGCCACTGCTCAAGAAACCCACAGCTTTCAGTCTGGTTAAACTTGCTGCCTTATTGATTGATCCAAACACGCTTTCTGTGAATTCTCCCATTGAATTCTCACCAGTACTGGTGAGATGGGTCCATGAACAGCCCCATTTTTCAGATGAGAAAACTGAGGTTTAGAACTGGGAAGCCCCGCCCAGGGATCCCCTTGTGGGGGACTGGAGTGGAACAGAGGTTTGTCTGGTGTGACGGCTTCGCCCGGTCAGGAGCTGCCCCCCCGAAGAAGCTGAGTTCTGAGTGTCTGTTTTTCTGCCTGTAAAATGGCAATCATCGTGTTTTCCTTGATTATCCACTAGGGCTGCGGTTTAAGGCTTCAGAAAGATAGATAACAAATGAGAAAACATTTTGAAAATGGCCGAGCAAGGAAGAAAGAGGCTTTTGAAATTATTGGTAGTGGAGACTGGTTTCTTGAACGGTTACTGTGTGCTAGGCACTGGCTACGTGTTTTTGTCTTATGTTAGATGTATATATTTTTAATTGTGGCAAACACACATAACACAAAATTCACCATTTTAAAGTACACAATTCATTGGCATTTGGCACATTCATTAGTATAATGTCGTGTAGCTGCCACCACTTTCTAGTTTCGGAACTTTTTCATCATCCCAAAAGGAAACCCCAGACCCCTTAGCAGACACTCCCCAGACCCATCCACGTTCTGTCTCACTGGATTCGCCTGTTCTGAACATTTCACAGAAAGGGGATCACATAACACTTGTCCTTTTGTGTCTGGCTCCTGCTGCTCGGCATAATGTTTTGGGGGTTCATCCACATTGTAGCATGAATCAGTACTTCATTCTTTTCGTTGGCTGAGTGGTATTTCTGTAATATAATAGACCACATTTGGTTTATCCATTCATCCATTGATGGATATCTGGGTTATTGATATTAGATGTTTTACCGCATATATGCTGACCATGTCCACGTGCTTAATGCAGAGGGCAGGGACTGTTCGGATTTTATTATTATTTTTTTATATGATGTATTTTATCCTCTTTCTCAAAAAATATTTTGTCTGGGTCCACAATTGATAATTATTTTCCTTAAGCACAATGAAAATATTATTCCACCATGTTTTGCCTTCTATTATTACTTTTTTTAAAAAATTAAAGTATCGTTGGCAATATATAATAATATAAATAACACTAAATTAGCTTCAGGTTTACAACATAGCGATCTGACATTTATTGTCCTCACTGTGTGATCAGTGCAGTTAGTCTAGTAACCATCTGTCACCATACAAAATTATTGCAATATTGACTATTTTTTGTATGCTGTACATTATACTCGTGTACCTCTAGTGTATGTGTGTGGCTGGAGGTTTTTACCTCTTATTCCGCTTCACCCCTTCCCCGACCCCAGCCTGTTAGGATTTTACAGAGGAGGCATCCGTGACTCAGAGAGGTGAAGCGACTTGCCCAGGGTCACACACCAGGGAGGTGGCAGAGGTAGGACTTGAAACTATGGCTTTCTAACCCCAGAGCCCAAACAGCAGTAAACCGAGAAGGCTCCTGTGGCTTCTGAGGTCCTGTCTTATCCTGCTGAGACAGCACCTCAGATAAAACCTGTGGTGACTTATTGGAATCATTAAGGATTTAAAAAAAAAAAATCGTGCTGGGGTCCTCTGCTCAGACCATTGAAGTCAGAATCTCCAGAACAGTGGTTCTCAACCTGGGACGATTTTGGCTGCCTCTTCCCCAAGGGAGGCAATTTCGGCTGTCCGCAGGGAGGGGATGCTACTGGCATCCATTGAGTAGAAGCCGGAGATCCTGTTCCACATCTTACAGTGCACAGGACAACCCCTCAACGCAGCATGACCCAGCCCAAATGTCAGTAGTGACCAGGTTGAAAAACCCTGCTCTAGACTTAGGGCCTGGGGGAAGTCATCATGTTTTAAACTCCCCAGCTGATTCGCATGCGCAGCCAGAGCTAAGCAGTGCTTCTCCAACTAGATCGTACACTGAGAATCCGCTGGATTCCTTGTTAAGATGCAGATTTGGGTTTAACAGGTCGAGGGTGGGGGCGGGGTTAGGTTCTGCATTTCTAACTAGCTCCCAGGGGTGCTACCATTCCTGGCCAGCACTTTGAGCAGTAAGACTGGAGTACGGATAAAAGCTTGCAGGAAGCCTGACTGGACTCTCATTGTTCTCTTTAAATTTTCATTAAAAAAGATAGTTTTCCTTAAGTAAGGAGAAGGGGTGGGAAATGCAGATTTGGCAAAGAAAGAGTCAACTGGTTGCTTAAAACTGTGAGGCTTTGACGGGAGGTTGCTTTAGGAAATAGACAAGTTGTGTTCACAGCAATGCACAGTGATTCACAGAGTGGCTGGCCAGGCCAGACTCCAGGCCGGCAGGGAGAGCTCACGGCCACGTCCAGCCCCTGGCCTGGCTGGCTGTGAGCCCTTGGCCAGCTTGACCAGTAGCGATGACTCAGGCTTTCCACCTGTGAAAAGGGACAGATGGCTCTTACCGCCTCCCCACCCATCCCTGGGTCCACGTGCCCCCAGCTGCCCCCCAAACTCATCAAAGGCAGAGCTTAAAAGCCAGGACCTGCTTTTCCAGGCGATGTGGCTGCTGTTTTCACTGGTAATACACCTCCATTTGTAGGAGCTCAATTAGGAAGTCACACAAAACTCCTGTATTGAAAGAAAGGTTTAATAACCCAGCCCATGTGGGAGAAATTAGCTTCTGTGGACAGGCAGCCCCCGGGAACAGCGCTGGCTGGCTGGTCCCTGAGAACAGGGAGCCCGGGCGGAGCGAGGATGGGGAGACTGTCAGGGGATTGTTGTGAGTTGTCGGGTTGCACTTTCAAAGTGAAATGTCTGGGAGCGTCTGGCTGGTCCACAACAGACTCCTTAGATGTCGCCAAGTGCAAGGTTGCTCCCGAAAGAGCTCGTTTCAACGTGGCTCCAGGGCGGATGGAGGGGGGGTGCTCGCCACCTGGAGGCCCAGGCCGGCCAGGAGGGAAGGGCTAGGTTCGGACCTCGGGCCCCACACGGCTGCTGCCCCAGCTCCGGATGGGGAGGTCCGCAGGCCCCTGGCACAGGAAGGGCTGGCCCTGCGCCCAGTTCTTGGGCTCCGGGAGGAACGCCAGGGGCTCAGGCTGACTCACCGAGGGGAGGGCCGGCCTCTGCAGCCCACGCTGCCAAGGCCGGGAGGCCCGAGCAGATGGGTCCCTCATGCTGGCTCGGACCCGTTTCTCACCCTGCCCAGAAAAGGGGGCTGGAGAGGGTCTCCATTCTTTCCTGCAGGAAAGATGGCTGGCTGGAGTGGCTGAGGGATGGGGCTCCAGAGCTGCACAGACCAGCTTTCGAAGGTTCACGTTTAAGCCTCACCACCTACCCTTGGCCAGATGGTGACCTTGACTTCTCTTAGCTTTAGTTTTCTCCTCAGTCGAATGTGAATAATTTTAATACTTCCTTCCTTAGAAGCTTGCTGTGTGCATTTAGGTCTATCACTGCAGTGAGCGCTCAGCATACACCTGCCCATTCTCCGTCTTTCACTGTGGTGGATAGAGGTGAAGATGCAGATATATAGGGACATTGAGAAACGTATGGATACGCGTGTCAAGATATATTCGGATATATCCATATCCGCCCCCATCCACCCGTCCATCTGTCCATCCATCCCAAGCTCCTCCTAGTAAACCCTGGGCACTGTTCTTGGCCCTGTTCCAGCGGTGCTCAAAGCAAAGCCCCTCCCTCCTGGGGCTTATATTCTAGTTGGGGTAGAGAGAGACCTGAACCAATAAAGTTCCGTGGAGCATATCTGAGAGTGGAAAGTTCTTTGCCAAAAAGCAAAGCGGGGTAAAGCAGCCTAAAGGAAAGAGAGGGAGAGAGACACTGAAGGACAGACGGCCAGGGGTTGGGTCCCACTGTTCTCATTGCGGGGGGATGGGGGGGTGGAAGGGTGGGGTAAGGAGGTGACATTTGAGTCGAATCTGCAAGAGGCGAGGAAGGGAACCATACAGGTCAGTCAGGGCAAACCTTCCAGAGAGAGGGACTTGGACATGCCCACGGTTAAAGACAGGAACGTGCTTAGAGTGTTTGAGGGACGGTGAGAACGTTCTAGAAGTATGGCTGGAGCGGCATCGGCCAGGGGGAGTTCTGGGAAAGGAGGTCAGCGAGGTGGTGGGGGCCGATCGTGGCTGCGTGGAAGCCCATGTCCGGCCTGGGAATGAATTCCAAAGTGGATAAATACGTGCAAACCGTTCAGAAACAGGGTCCTGCAGTTTCACATGCCTGACCCCTTCGAGTGCTTGCTGCCGTCAAGGGCAAAAGGACAGTATACTGTAGCCAAGGAAGTGTCTTACGGAAAAGTCAGCCTCATAAACAATGAAGAAAATATCCCATTGTCATTCGCCTTCCCTTCGATCGGAGGACAGACCCCTGCCTCTTGATTCGTGACAACAAAGTGTGGGGTTAGGAGAAATTTCGCCCAGACAACTTGGGGCACTTTTACAAGAACATAATATTTGCAGAGTCAGGTTGCCACGGGTGACGGTTCCACATTTAGCGATGGCAGCAGGCGACCAAGGCGGGCAGAGCGTGTCCTGTCGCGTCGCCGTGAAATCGGAAAGCCTCTTTGGGGTGCCCTCCCCTGACTTCTCGTTCTCTTGCCCTCAGCCCAGCGGTCTGCCCACGAGCTGCCCATGGTGGAAAGACAGGACATCGACAGCTGCCTGGTCTACGGGGGCCAGCAGATGATCCTCACGGGACAGAACTTCACGGCCGAGTCGAAAGTCGTGTTCACGGAGAAGACCACAGGTCAGGGCGCCTTCGAGCTCTTTCGCGTCCGTTGGCGCCATGCGAAAGCCAGCGTCTTTCTGTTCCAAGCGGCGCGGATCTGGGGGCAGATCCCACTGTATAGCATTTCGCATTCCACTCGTTTTACTCACTGTGACAGGCGTCCCACGTCCCGCGTGATTTCGATGTTGACACGGTTCACCATCGCGTGAACCTGCCCCGGTGTGTTTTAGCTGATCCCGAGTTGTTTCCTGTGATGATAAGGTTGGCTCCCAGCCCCAATTCTTTAACATCATTATTTTTTACATATAGAACAACACTTTTTCAACTTTTTACTATTTTCAAGAAGGGAAGCCAACCGTCGTGGTGATTAAGCGTGCCTGCTCCGTACCCAGAGATCCTGGGTTCACGTCTGGCTCTGTTACATGCTTGCTCTGTGATCGTAGGCAAATCACCTAACCTTTCTGTGCCTACATGTTCTATATATAGATCGATCATAACAAGACGGTTGTCACAAGGTTAAATGAGTTACTACATGTTAAGCAATTATAATAGCACCAAGTATATCATAAACTGATAAACATTGGCATTTATATTTTTATTATCAATAGCATCGCAATTAATCTTTGAGTACTTTTAGGATTAATTAATTAATCTTTTACACATGACCCTCTGTTTTTAAAATTTATTTGGAGTGTATTCCTGGCAGTGGGATTTTGGATAATCATCGTAAGGGTTTTAAATCCCGTTTGCCGAGTTACCGTCCAGAACTCTACAAACTGTAACTTCCATCGACAGCGTGTCAGTAACGGTTTCACCCCTCCCAGAAGTGCCGTTTTGTTTTTTTTTTAATTAAAAAAAGTTGCCGAATCGATGCTAATTTTTACTTTGCACTCCGTTGCTCTGAGAGGTTTATGTTTTTGTTTATCAGCCATGTGTATTCTTTCTTCTATGCGCTGTTTGGTAATGTGTTTTGCCCATAAGGATGTGAAAAAAAAAAAAAAAAGATCAGAAGTAGGAAAAATATCAGGTTATGCAATTATGTGATAGTTGTAGATGCCAGACTTAGGTTTATTTATCTGTTTATTTTTCTAATGGGCATGGTTTCAGGAGGTTCATTCACAGGGGTATTGGTGTTGGTCTCTTTATTACCCTTAGGGTGATCCAGAGAATATAACAGGCAGGCTGTCTGGTCGTGGGGCTTGTGCACCGCACAAGGCTACCTCCTCTGGGGGCTGCCACTCAGACTGGATATATCGTCTATGTGTGAATTACTAAGACACCTGCTGACAGGAGGAAGCCTTGAGTGTCTGGGAAAAGGGATGCTTCTTCCCAGTTCACATAAAGCCTCCTCTGGGGATGGGCCCTGTGACCAGGACATGGGAACTGCTTTCGCACACTTTGAAAGCACAGTAGAAGGCAGCATTGAAAAAGGCATTAGGTAAGGCTGTGGCATTGGGAGCTGGAGACGGATGAATGGGTTTGAGAGTGGTTTAGAAGGCACATGGTTGGTCACAGTGAGTTTGAAGGGCAGCGGTGGTGTAGCGAGGGGTTAGGAACACAGACATTTAAATGGATGCATTGTATTCTATCATATGGTCATCCAACACTTTATTTAACCATTGCCCTTTTATTGGGCATTAGGCTCCTTCCACATCTGCGCTATTATAAGTAATGCAGTGAGGAACGTCTTCTACGTTCGTTTTGTCAGCTAGATGGGAACTCACACTCTTGAGCCAGTCTGCTTGTGTTCAAAACTCAATCCCACTACTGCCGACCTGTGCGACCTTGGGCAAGTCACTTATCTTCTCTGATCAACAGTTTCCTTGTCTGTATAAGGAAGATGGCAGTCCTATCTGATAGGATGGTCATGAGATTAAGAGTTCATACATGTTAAGTACTTATAAAATGTTTGGTATATAGTAAGTGCACAGCATATGGTGGCTATCGCTATTTGTTACTTCCTGTATGTGGTGTAGTGGATTCGAGAAGGCATGCATGTTTTCGAGCAGCTTGGGGGGAGGCATATTTCTGAGGTGGTAGAACAATGTAAAATGTTCTCTATAGCAAGAATTTGTGAGGCTCGGGTAAGTCAGAGACCAAACCAACGTAGCTGAAATAGGCACTGTTTAACACTGGGAAATGCTTTGATGGGCAGGAGGAGGCCAGGGCAGAGAGATCTCCCGGGGCTAGGTAGAGACGTGGCCTTGGTTTGGTCTGCACATGGTACGGTCACAGGGAGTCAAGATGGGTTCTTGGGCAGGAGAGGGGCATGAACGGTCAGTGACCAGGGAAGCTTTAGCCTTTCCGGTTTCAATGCATCTTCTGTACTGGGAAACCATCCTGCTGGCCTTCTGCTGACTTTCACAGGAAGTGTGTGGCTTCAAAACGCCATGTTAGCAGGGAAAAGTGCTAATAAGACACAGACAACTTGCTATCTATCCACGTGCAGGTCGGCAGTGTCTGTGAGGGCCAACGGAACTGTGCAGGGATGGCTCGGAGGCCAGGTCCTACCAAGTTCTCCTGGAGTTAGGAGCCAGCGGCTTTCAGTTGCCCAGAGAGTCCACATTCTTATGAAGCTAGTCAAGGGCATCAGTTAAGTGTTTGTCGAATGAAGGGACAATGAATGAATGAATGGCATTTACTCTCTAGCCTTCTCTTGGTTTTGGAAGAAATTTCACAGTTTACATCTTACCGGAAGGAAAGCTCAGAGCCTGTTTGGACTTTGCAAAGTTACGTGTTAATGAAAGAGCAGTAATAACAGCTCCCTATGGTCGAATTCACCTGTGGGCGGGCCCTTCGCCTGCCACCCTCTGCCTATTGTCTCCACGAACCCGGCATCCGTGGGAGGCAGATGGCTGAGCTTGGAGAAGTCAGGGCACTTAATTGAGATCATATCCAGCATTGTCCTGTAGTTCTACCTCCCCAGGTCTCAACTTCCATCTCTGTAAAATGAGTTAGTAACAATCCTTTCGTCCTGGAGTTAAATGCATAAATGAGTGGCATGGACTTGGTGCAGAGGGAGTGTTCACTGAATGTCTGTTATTGTTTTTATGGTCTCTCCAGCGTTATCATAGCTTAGGCCATGTACATGGTTTATATTACACACACTGCCCCGGGGGCTGGCCTGGGCAGGGCAAGCTGTGCAGGGCTGCGTGCTATGGCGGTCACAGGTACAAGCTCTGAAGTCAGATGGCCTGGGTTCGAATCCATGATCTGCATTTAGCAGCTGTGTCATCCTGGGTAAGTCTCTTTACCTCTCTGAGCCAATATTTCCTCTTTTGTGAAAATAGAGATGATTTACTTCTCTCAAGAGGTGAGACGATTAAATGACATCATACAGATTAGGCTCTTTGCATAGAGCTTGGCGCATTATAGATGCTCATTAAATGTCAGCGTCTGTTATTATTACATTTAGTCTGTGGTAGGACAGAGAGGAGTTTGAGTTTATCTCATGGAACCAAGAGACTTTGAAAACAGTAATAGGTTTAATAATAAACTGTGTGCCAGGCCTTGCCCTACGCGCTTCATACATATTAACTAATCTGATTCTTCGTGACAGCTCTACAAGAGAGCTACTTTCCCCCAGTTTTCCTGATGAGAAACTGAGCATAGAGAGATTAAGTAACTTAGTCAAGATCACACAGCTAGTAAATGGCAGTGCTGAGTTTGACCCCAGGCAGCCTGGCTCCGGCGTCTGCACCCTTGACTGTTAGCTGTTCTACTCTGAAAAAGCTTAGAATCAGGTTAACTGGCTGAAGACCTTTCAGCTGCTCTGAGCCACCGACTTGAACCATTTTGTGGTGACAAAGAGCCCTGAATTCTTCACAGGGTCATTGGGTCGAGAGGATGCGGTTCGAACCCTTTCACGTCTAACTACAGAATCCGAGGTGACTGTGGTTCCTGGGTTGATGCCAGCAGAAAAGTGGGGGCCTCAGAGATGCCTCTGAACCCCCAGAGAAGAGGCGGGCTTCCTAGTGGGATGCCTGGCTCCCCATGGCTCTGACAGACAGGCAGGTGGCTTTGCCTCTGCAGGAAGCTGGTCCTGCTCTTTTGACCCCAAAAAACTCGCTTCCCAGCCCAGGGCCTCCTTCTGCACGGGGAATCCCTGTTGCTTAACTTCTTTTTTCCAAAACGCATCCCCGTTCCCGTCTCCATGGACAGCTTGGCCGGCAAGGGCGCTGTGGGGCGGGGTGGAGTGGAACAGCTGAAGTTTTCCAAGGAAAGGGGAACCCCAGCTGGTTCTCACATCAAGGAAAGGTGACAGCCTCCTGGGCTAATCTTAGCCCCCACGTTGGGTCATCGGCACCACCCGCTCCAACGTTCTTTTTATAGCCGTCGACCGAAATGGAATTGGTGGTTTCCACTCCAGCAGGATGACAAATTGGAGAACGGTGAAAAAACAGGGCAGCGGGGGGTGGGGGGGGCAGCATGGCGTTTCTTAAGTTAGAAAAAGCTCGGT